GCTGGACTGGGCCTCATTTTAGTGACCCCCATTTGACAGGACTATAAAAGTTCATGCTGGGAGTTTATGCCTTGGTTGGTTACCCTTACATGGTTTTGGAAACGCAGTTTGTGGTCAGTAAATATATAGAGAGAAGTAATTTACCAGAGATTTAGGCAAGGGTGGAGACTGACCAGTTTGCGGGTGTTACATTGTTGGTAAAATATCAGTGGAGCAAAATACCTTGAACAGGTTTAATGGTTTATATATTCTTTTTAAAATCTAATTTTTTTAAAAAGATTTATTTATACAAGCACTGGGGTACAGTCAGAAGTGGGGGAAGGTGAGAGAATTCACCAGAGCCAGAGCGGAGAGCAGAACAGGCAGACTGACGAGGTACACTGCTGAGGGGAGCAGCGGGCGGCAGGAGAGGTCTGCGCGCCATGTGGGACCCTCGCCCGGCGGCCAGGGATCAAACCGGCACCGCAGAGGCTGCGGGCAGCTTCGCAACCCAGCACTCAACCGCTGCGCCACTGGGGAAGCCCTCTAAATTTTTTTTAAATCAAATATTTCTATTTTCCAGGTATTGTGGCTGGTCTTGGGTATATAGTGTTGAACAAAACAGATATCACCCTTGTTTTATAGATCTTCCTAAGAGAGACAAAAGTAAATAAAATCACAATGTAATTATAGTCATAATTAGTGTACCAAAGGAAAGTCATTGGAATTTATAAAGACGTAAAATAAGGGAGCTTATCCCAGTTCAGCAGGGTCAGGGAAAGCTTCCTGGAAGAGACAAAATTTAATCTAAGACTTGAAGGAAGGTGAGGGGCACAGGGATTGGGAGTAGCAGGGAGCAGGGAGAGCTGAAATAAATGACCCCCAGGGAGGTTCATGGGGTTGCTCACGCTGTGTAGACCGGGGACACGTCACTCCTGGCTGCTTTCCCTGGAGACTGCACCCAGGGCGTTTTCTCTTCCGTCCCACAGATCTTGCCACAGCTTAAATCTACCGTAAAAGTTTTTACTATGTTATTGTGTGTAATTTACTTTTGAGATGATTCAGCTGGTTTTCTTGGAAAGTAGTCTATTTCTTTTTTAGTTTTAGCTGTTAGTCTTGCTGGATGTCTAGACTGAGGACTGGCCAGTAGCATCACAGACCAGGTCAGCGGTCACTGCAAACAGAGGCACAAGCTCTGGACTCAGAAAGGCTCAGTTCTTCGTTCAAACTGAGATTCAGTTGTTTTGAATCTCGACTTTGACTCTCCTCAACTTGCTTTCTTTGTCTGTAAAATGGGTGTAATGACCATCTCATAAAGCAGGTTTGAGTATTAAATTAAGTGAGACATTATATGGGAAGTGGTAGTGTGGGGCTTGCCTTAATGCATGGTGGTCATAGTTGTCAACTGTTTGTTCCTTGATTCCTGCCAGAGCCTGTTGTCTTGCACTAGACCATTGAGAAAATATTTTGTTAGTTGACTATTTAAAAAGATTTAGTGTCCATATAAAATAGATCTCTTCTATAGATTGAAAGATTTACTGTACAGTTTCAAGTTGAATTTTAGGAAGTCTGTTAGTATACTATGGGGAGCAGTTCTACCTCATACTTGTGGGTCTTTTCTATGTACTAAAGAAAGGGAAAAGTGAAGCTAACAAAAAGTATGTCGGATGTGACTACATCACAATTGATTTATTCCCCCCAAAAAATCAGTGTTGTGTTTATGACTTAATTTGATAAAGAAACCACATTAAAAAACAAAAACAAAAACACTAGCAATTACACAATCTATTCAGTGCAAGGAAATATTATAGAGAAGGTTACAGAGTGTGGGTAAACTCTTCAAACATGGGCCTATGGTTAAATCATCTTAAAGTCCCACCTCCTGGGTGGTGCTGGTTTAACCATCCTCTGTGCAGCCACGAGCTACCTGAGCCAACTGCATTTGAAATACTGGTGTGAACGTGCTGTGCTGGTGAATCAACAGCCAGGGCTAACCTGAGTGTCTGGTCAGGAGGCAGTGTTTCTAGGAAACTTTTTCTGGTTAATTAGAGGTTTCCCAAAATCTGAACGTGAGAGTTATGATTTGAATCTTGGTAGAATGAAAGAGAGATTATGTAGCAAGATTGCTTGTAAAACATGATGATCTCTGAAATTCTATGAAAAGGAAATAATGAAAGTATTGTTTAAAAAAATCCAAAGGACTGAAATATATTGCCATTAAAAATCTGTCCTACATGACCTCCCTGGTGGCGCTGTGAAGCTGTCCTCAGCCTCTGCAGTGCGGGTTCCATCCCGGCCTGCCAGGGAGATACCCACATGCGGTGGCAGACCTCTCCTGTCTCGACCACTGCTCCCCTCAAGTAGTGTATTTCAGTCTAACTGTTCTGTTCCCCGCTCTGTCTCTGGTGAATCCTCTCACCTTCCCAAACATCTGGTCTGTACCCCGGTTCTTGTATGCATGAATAAATAAATCTTTAAAAAAAAATCTGTCCTACAAATAAGCCAAATTACTTCCCAAACTCAAGTTCCATCTAGGGAGCCAGAATGCTTTTACTTTTGCTTCAGATTTGATTTAGTGCTCCAGTATTCTTGGTTATTGAAATAATACATACTTCAGTAAAAGTTTCTTGGTCTTTTCGTAGCTCAGATCACTTAGTAAAATATGCAAATTTGCCAAAATAACCAGTAGATGATTTAACATAAAAACTTGAAATTATATCTTAATTGTGCTAATGTCAACATAAAAGTTGGATGACTTGGTTTATATTATATCAAAGTAAGTAGGATAAACAGATATTTCATTAGTACTTTGTTTTTAATCTTGTACTTTGGCAAACCTTTTGCAGTGATAAATAAATTTTTGTTTTCTTTGGGAAAAGCCAAGTTACTGTTGTTTTTGGTTATACAGTGGCATTCTTTGAGACTAACAACTAAAGACAAGAAACTGTAAGATATTTACCTCTGAGATATTTATTTCTTAGATTTACATGATAACAATCTTTTGAATTTTTTTTTTACATTTCTTGAAACATTTTTTAAAAAACACATGGAGTTAAAATGAATTACAAATATTTTTCATTCTTATGAAAACCAGCTAAAAATGAACTAGCATCGACTACCTACTACCTAGAATTCCTGCGGCTTTGAATCCTTAAAAATGTGTATTCTCAGCCATATGTATCCTAGGCAATATAAAGTTACTTCCTTCTTGCTTCTCCTCCTCCATCCCTGTGTTCATGAATGGTTTAATGACCCACGTTGAAGCCCAGTTAGAAACCTTGACTAGAAGCCCCAACATTTTCCTTGCCTTTCCCATATCATGAGTTTCTCTATTTTGCTAACTTCCCTTTAAACATGTTACCTTAGTCTGTGTCTTTTTCTGATTTCCCACTACCCAGTATTATTATCTTTTGCCCAGATGAACCATCTAACTGAACTGCTTGCCATTTCCCTCTCCCTGGTTGTATTTCATCTCTCCTTTGTCCCAGTTTTCAGTCTGATTGGATGATTTATTGGCTTTAGCACCTCCATTGGGATCTCCATGCTCATGTTTCCCTGCCCACATGGCGTGTCATTCTGCTCCCAGCAGTTCCAGCCTCATCATTGATGACCAGTCTCACACCTTCTTTCATCTGTGTTTACTGAACTGTCCATCACCTGCCTTCTGTATGCCTCTCTTGTATTGTAATGAATTGTCTCCATAATTCCCATGGGCCAGTGCTGAGTGTCAGGACAAAAAGGATTATTACTTGATCAGCTTTCATGATGAAATAATCTCTCCTTGATATATTGCTCAGTTTCTCCTGTGTTGGTTCTTGGTATTACACTGTCATTTTTTGACGTAGCTAGTATTGACAGAGTTTTTGAAGTTGAAATTCTACCTCTAGATATATACCCTAATGATTTGAAAACAATCAAGCTTATACTGTATGCAAATGTTTATTGAAGCAGTATTGACAGTGGCTAAAAGGTGGAAACAACATAAGTGTCCATCGGAGATGAATGGCAAATAAAATATAAATATCTGTAACAATGAAATATTACTCACCCATAAAGAAGAATGAAGTTCTGATACAGGCCTCAACATGGAGTTTTAAAAACACATGGAGGGCCTCCCCTGGTGGCTCAGTGGTTGAGCGCTGGGCTGCGAAGCTGCCCGCAGCCTCTGCAGCGCCGGTTCGATCCCCAGCCGCAGGTGAGGGTCCCACATGGCGCGCAGACCTCTCCTGTCTCGCCCGCTGCTCCCCTCAGCAGTGTATTTCAGTCAGTGTGCCTGTTCTGTTCCCCACTCTGGCTCTGGTGAATTCTCTCACCCTCCCACGACTTCTGACTGTACCCAGTGCTTGTATAAATAAATAAATCTTTAAAAAAATTACTTTATTAAAAAAATAAAAAACACATGGAGTTAAAATGAATTACAAATATTTTTCATTATACATTATACAAAGTGAAATAAGCCAGGTGAAAAAGGACAAATATTATATGATTCTACTTATTTGAAATATCGAGAATAAGCAATTCATAGTGATAGAAAGTAGATTAAAGGTTTTGGGGGAGAAATGGGAAGCAATTGAAATGGGAAGAACTGACATTTATATTTGGGGTGATCAAAATATTTTGGAAATCATGGTAGTAGTTGCACAACATTGTGAATGTAATTGATGCCATTGAATTGTGCACTTAAAATGACAAATTTTGTTATGTATACTTTTACCGCAGTAAAAATATATGTGTTTCATGGAATTTTTTAAAAAAAACACGCCACCAATAACCTGACACACAACTGTTCCCGCTTGTAGTTTCCATGTGAGCATGTTGCCTCTCCCTGCCTCTATTTACCTTTCTTGCCTTCCATAGCTCACATTTCTTGAAGGTCAGGATGATTTTTATAATATTTAAAAATCCTTTTAGTTGGTACTGTATACTGTTGAGTTTCAAAGCCTGTATAATAGCATTACATGAGGACAGCTTTGTCTTTTAAAATAGATGGAAAGTCTAAATGCTTTTCTTTGTCTTTTCAGATTCTTTACAGAGTTGGAAGCGAGACATCAGAATAATATCTTCATAGATGACATAAGTGACATTGTGGAAAAACACACAGCATCCACATTTGACCCGTATGTGAAGTACTGCACAAACGAAGTCTACCAACAACGAACACTACAAAAATTGTTGTAAGCATTGTTAACTATTACAGTTTTAATTGCCCGACCTCATTTTGATGAAGCCGCATTAAAATTAATTCATCACTTAAGTCATTTGTAGAAAGGCCTCCTGCTGCACCATTTCCCAGGGAGAAATATTTAAGATGATCACTTTCAAAGTGAAGGTGTTTTAGGAGAAAAATCTAGTCTGTGGAGGATTTTCTCTCTAAAGTGATTATGAAATTAGGGCTTGTTGTCATTTTTCTTATTAGTTCTTAACTGCTGCCAGTTACCAGGGTGATCATCATTCCAAATGTCCCCAGTTTTCTAAACTGTTAATTGGTTATTAAGTGGTTTGCCTGAGGCAAGGAGAGAGGTCTATGTAGACTGAGCTACTGCCTAGGATCCAGAATTTTCTCTACTAATATTTCTCCAAATGACCACCCTACTAAAATGTTTATAGAAATTGCTAATTTACTGCTGTCTCCTCCCCACCCCACCTCTTCTAGTTAGAGTTAAGGAGAGGGAGGTCTGAAGGAAAGAAATGAAAGTTTTTAGAGACTTTAAATTATGCAACACAAAAGAATTCATCTACATTTCCCTCTACACCTTTTCCTTTGTCCTATTTAGGTTACTGAGACGTTTGGTGTGATGTATATACCATCTCTGTCCTTAAAAGAATCAGCGATTGTTCAGTAATGTTTGTATTGTTTTATTTTTGGGGTCCTGTTTATTTCAGTAGCTCTTTGTTTTATATTGCAATTGTGCTCAGTTTGGGGGCTTCCTGGCTGTTACTATTCTTCACCCTCCTGTGACTTGTGTTTATGATCCTAGAGAGGACTTGGTCAGCTCCTGTGCTATGTGTGTGAGATCCTGCGGGGGCAGGGGTTGATGTGATTATCTCATGGTTGCTTGGAGATGTAGTTAAAGGCCCCAACTTGTTGAGGAGGATTGATTATGCTGCTTCTCCCACTCCTACACATATTCATGAAACTGTTTGGACAGAGTAGAAGATCCACAGCTGCCTACCCTAGCCAAGTCTCTAGTTCAAAACAGGATTTGCCAGCACTACACCATGTGGGGCTGAATAAATCTTTGTTAGGGGACAGTCCTGTCAATGCAGCTTGTTTGACAACATCCCTGACCTGACCCACTACATGCTGACAGCTGTCCCACATCCCGGATATGAAAATCCAAAAACAGATCTCTGGACATCACCACGTGTCTCCTGTGAGGCCAGAAACACACCTCACTTTGCCTAATCTTCCTGCCACAGCTGGGAGCTGCTGGCCAAGAGGCTGCTCTATTACAGTTAGAAAATGCAATTTGCATATTTGCAAATAAAATCGTGAATTAGAACTGAATTTCATTTGTTTTTCATTAAGAAATGTGACTAGGTACTGCTGTACATTATGTAGCTCTTAAAAAATAAAAGTCTTCTCTAAATTAACTTAATGATAACATTGCTTGTGCTTCCACATGGAAATTCGTGATTGTGTTTTCAGGGAATTTTGCAGATGATGTGAATTTATATTTAGCCAATTTTGACCATTCTTTTGAAACAAGCAAACATACAATGCCCAGGGTCCATGCCAGATCATTTAAATCACACGTTTTGCGGGGGTGGGTCTGGAACCTCAGTGCTTTCAATTTGCAACTGGTTCAGAGTTTAATTTTTCTTTTAACTTTCTAAAAGTCTTTCCAAAGCTTGTAAGAGTGAGAACTTAGCACTCCTCAGTTGGAGAACTAAAAACATTTCTGTGTAAGTTCTTTTAATTTGCTACTCTGAGTATTGCCTAATTTATTGTTAGCAGTCTTGAACCAAATCATCTTAACTTTCAAAATATATTAAAACACAGAAAGCTAATCATTGCCATCACCTTGGTTCTTGGGCTGCTTCACTACCCCACATGGGGGGGGGGGGGTTACAGTATCCGGCCCCTCTCCCTCCTACTTAAAATCACAAAGAAACCCTTCAGAGCTTCTCTTTGGGTGAGATGAGGTTAGAGATGTGATGGGGTTGAAGGGTAAGAAGAGGCTTAAGGACACTCCCTGGAAGTCAGAAGACCTAAGTTTGACTTCTATCTTTGCCAAATACTCAGTCTTCTACTTGACACATTGGGGACCTTTCTGAGCCCCTTAATTGGAATCCCCTTTTGACCTTCCTTAAAGGTTATGAGCACTTCCACCTGAGATAATATATGTTAGTGTATCTTGCCACATTCCATCAAAATGTTGTGGCAGTATAACATTGTTTTTTGTCACTTGTGAGAGGAGGAGAAATATTCTGGCTGATGTGGTCACAGGTTTTGTCTCTGAAAGCTTTGGTAGACGGTCAATAGCTTCCTAGCAAATAAACCAGTCTGATTGACTTTTTCTTTCTTAGGATATTGTCTCAGATTTAAAGCTTATCATTGTTATCTTTTTAATGGAATGTGCTCACAGATGATCAGATGTGGGACCTAGTCTCTAGACTAATTTATAATTGTTGGATTCACTTTTATGACATGGCTACCACATTGAAGCTTTCCATTTCTGTAAATTTCTAGTTCATACATTTCTATCTCATTGTTCATATTGTTATCTTAAATTCTTGTCTTATATTCATTCTTGATTATTGAAGGCAGATAAAGCATATTATCTACATGTTAATTTTATGTTTATGTTTATATATTAAAATTCATAACGTGACTTTATCACAGTATTTTAGAATGCATTTTTACTCACTTTTTAACTTGAGAAGGAAGTTTTTTAAAGTTCTTCTTTCTTTGTTTTTCCTAGAGCCACCAATCCATCTTTTAAGGACGTCTTATCCCGAATCGAGTCCCACGAAGACTGTAGGAACTTACCCATGATTTCTTTTCTCATTCTCCCCATGCAGAGGGTGACCCGCCTTCCCCTGCTGATGGACGTAAGACAAGATCTGGTGGTGCTTTTCTCTGTGGATAGCAGTGCCGCCATAAATCTGATTAGAAAATTATTCTTGTTCCACTTAAACTGAAGCATAGCCTTCTATAAAATCTCCCGATTAAGAAGATGCTCTTCAGTTGAAAAGTCTCACTTATATTTAATATCTTTGGAAATTGTCTTCCATTTAGGCTTGTGTGGCCCCTCTGAAAAATTTAGACAACATTACCCACTTACTCAACATGTCTTGAAATGGGAAGAAGAGTGACTTCTTCAAGTTAAGAGCCTGGATGCTATTTCTGTCTGAGCCAATAGGCTTGTGACTTTGTGCAAGTCACTTCATCTTTCTGGAACTCACTCTCCTCAAGTTACTACCAAGATCCCTTCTCCATAACGTTCCAAGATGCCTTCTTACTTCCATTTCACAAGGAGTGAGACTCATTAGCATTACTTGCCACAATGTATTGCAGGGGAATGGGTTTGCCTCTTTTGTGCACTGTGCAGAGTGGGTGAGGGAAATCAGTAAGACATGGCTGGAAGTGAGTAGAGGCTCCCTGATATGAGGCACTGTCCAGAGGACAGTGCATGGTGGCCTGGGGTCTGCACACTGCAGGGCAGGACAATAGAGGAGCCAGAGAGAAAAACAGGGCGACTGAACCCAGCCCCCATCCAGCTCATGATCCAAGTAGTGTCTTATTGATCAAATTGAAATTGTTTGTCCTCATTCGATTTTACAATTGGATCATGGTGTTAATATCGGTTTTTACATACTTGGTTTTTACAAAATTAAGACATAGGCTAAAAATGCAGCAAGAAATGATGAAAATTCCAAAATAAAGTTCATTATCTATATATTTCATTATAAGTTCTAAGAAGGATTCTAGATAAGCACTGAAATTCTGAAATGAATCAAAGCATGTAATCACAGTCCCTTTGTGGCTCTGCTGCAGGTTGGGGGAAGTTTGGGCACAGTCCTCTGAGTCCACCACCTCCACTTCCTTCCCAGACCATCATCTGTCATTTAGGGTCCTCTCTCTAAAATATTGAGAAACATGCAGAAATATTCTTTTAGACTTTACTTTTTGTATCAAGAAATGAACATTTCTAAATGCGACATATCTTGTAACGTACTGAATATTTGAGGTCCTTTTTCTTTTTTTTCTGAAAATGCATTTTAGTCATGCTTCTTTAAATTCTGTATATACTGAGCTCTCCCAGTCTTTTATATTTTTGTCCTAGTTTTCAGAAAATTGCTTGCCCAGATTGGGAGTCACGAAATTTAAATTACTTTATTGTGCCTTGTCAGAGCTTGATGCTGTCATTGTCCAGAGGGCTTGAAACTTTTTTGGGTCAGAGACTTTTTTGAGATTCAGAGTAAAACTGTAGCCATTCTACCCCCAAAACTCATTATCCACAAAAGTTTACATAAAATTTCACTGTGCAGACTGTGGACTCTAGAGACTCCTCAGGGGACATGTCAGTATTTTTCAGACTGCTCATGAAACTGATTTTTGAAACATGAATACTGTTATTAAAAAAAGGAAATAGAAAAGAATATGTAGCATGTGATATGTACACAATTCATAATAGTTTAGTATTATTTCATAAAAAGGCTTGTTTCATTTATATGTGCACATATTCTGGTTGCAGTGTAAATGTATTTCTTATAGTGGGTCATTGTCAAGCATATTGAGAACCATTAATAAAAACCCACTTGTTACACTCTGCTTCTCACATATCACATACGACAACCTTGAATTGTGGATTTGCAGACCAGGTACTCATCTATATTTAAGAGACCAGTGGTTTATTAGCTCCCAACTTCCTTGATGCCCGTTCCCCTAATCTCTTTCCCATATGCGAGAATTTGGCCACCTCAGCACCGTATATGTATACTTAAAATAACATCTCTCTGCAGTTGTGCTTCATTTGGAAATTCAGTTAAATGCGTTGAGATGAACAATTTTTTTTAGCAACTAAAATGGTTCTATTGGCTTCCAGTGGGTATAGTTTCAAAGTTGCCTTGTAAATTCACATCAAATTACTTTGAATTAGCCCTCTTTGAACTTAATTTTACCATCACAAAAGAAATTTTGTAGTATAAATACATCAAGAGAAAATCTAGTAGCCTTTTTTTCTTAATCTTTTTAGTCTCATGTCTACAAATATAGTTACCTCTGATAATGATGATAATGGTGATAAATAAATAATTTTATCTTTCATTGAGGGCCTACTGTGTGCCACGCACTCATGTAGAAATTTACACATGCCATGTTATCATTTAATTCTTGCTATCACTTTGTGATGTAGTTGGCATTATTTGTGATGTACTTGGCTTTTCCAAAACCAAATTGCTGTAAGGGACAAATGTGGGATTTGAAGCCAGATTCATCTGCCTCTAAAGTCTAGCCTCTTATTTATCCATTCCCTGGATTTACTTGGATTCTGTGTATTTCTAGATATTTCCTAGTTTGAATTTTATTATCATCCTTGTACTCACCCATGATACTGTGTTCAGCATCAAGTTCGTTATGAGTAAGAACATATGTCTGGTTTTATTTTACTTAGCAAAATAAATCATTTGATTTTATTCCTCTTTTACTTCATTGCAGACTATCTGTCAAAAAACACCCAAGGACTCTCCAAAGTATGAAGTCTGCAAACGGGCCTTGAAAGAAGTAAGCAAGGTAACTGCTGATAGCGCCTCAGACAATACACCTTTCTAATACCTCAGAAGAAAACGCCTGGAAATTAGTAGATTCTCAAAACCATTAGCACAGCATTTTTTTTGGTAGCTGAAAAGGCTGTATGTTTGCTGTACTCAAATGTAAATGGTATATTTACTCTTCAGACAATCTTGCTTTAAGGGCCTATAGAGATCTCATTTTCCTCATTTTCTTTTCTGAAGAGATGTTTATTTATTCTCTCATTTAGCACATATTTATTATCAGCTACTGTGTGAGGCATGATGCCAGCCCCTGAAAGTATAGTGATGAATAAGACAGATGTACTCACTACCCTCATGGAATATGCCTTGTAAAGTGGAAGGCAGGCATTAAATAAGAATTACAATAAAGAATGGTGAATGACACGATAGGGAAGAGCATGGTGATGTGTAAGTTGAAACCTAAAGCAAGAGTAGCAGAAGCCAGGGCCTCCCTGGTGGCACACGGGGTTAAGACGCAACCTATGAAGCTATCTGCAGCCACTGCAGCCCGAGTTCGATCCCTGGGCAGGGAGCTACCTACATGGTGCAGCAGACCTCTCCTGTCTCGCCTGCTGCTCCCTTCAGCAGTGTATTTCAGTCGATCTGCCTGTTCTGTTCCCCACACTGTCTCTGCTGAATCCTCCCACCCTCCACACCTCTGGCCTATACCCCAGTTCTTGTATGCATAAATAAATAAATCTTAAAAAAAAAAAAAAGAGGAGCCAAAGCCAGGGATTAGGTAAAGGGAGCATCTCATGTATGTATGGAAACCTAAAGTTGAAGTATTCGGTGAATTTAAGAACTGGAATGTTTTTCCCGTGACTGTAGGACCCAACTAAAGGAAAAGTATTGAGGAACAGTGGACCTTATTCTAAGATAATATAGAAACTACAAATTCATGATTGAATGTGGATGTATGGGGGTAAGGTGAATTTGGATGCAGTTATGAAACCTTTATAGTTGACTAGGCTAGAAATGACAGTGGTCTATATTGTGACTGTAACCCGGAGGGAAACCTATAATGTTGGAGATTGACCGGGTGAGCATATGTGGGGACAGAAGTCAAGGAATATAGTCTTGGACTTGAGCAACAAGTGGATGGATTCTCTTATTTGTCACTGCACTAGAAACATGAGAAGCTGATGAGTTCCATTTTGAATATGTTGTCATTGAGATTCTTCCAGAATATCTGAGTTAGCTGAATAGACAGGAGAGACTTGATTTGGGGACACAGATTTGGGGATAGTCAGCATTTGGATGATTTTTGAAGCTGGATGGTTGCATGAGATTACCCAGGAAGAGAGTATAGAATAAGAAGAGTAATGAGTCTGTGCAACAAGTGTGAAGAACTCCAGCATTCATCTTGCATAGGAAAAGGGATCAGCAGAGGAGATGTAGAAAGGAAAACAAAATGTATCAAAGAGGGGGGAGGGGACTTTTTTTTTTTATTTGTTTATACAAATCAAAAAAAAGATTTATTTGTTTATACAAGAACTGGGGTATAGGCCAGAGGCGGAGGGTGAGAGGATTCACCAGAAACAGAGTGGGGAATAGAGCAGGCAGACTGACTGAAAACACTGCTGAGGGGAGCAGCGGGCGAGGCAGGAGAGGTCTATCGCACCATGTGGGTATCTCCCTGGCTGGCCAGGAATCGAATCCATGCTGCTGAGGCTGCGGACAGCTTCACAGCTCTGCGTCAACCTGCTGCGCCACAGGGGAGGCCCAAAGGGGAGGACTCTTAATGGGCTGACAAGTCGCAGAAAATGTGGTGGAAGGAAGGTGAACCCCCATTGAATGCTGCTGAAAGACAGTGAGATGATGATTGAGGCTTTCATTGGATTTATCATCAGGAAGAATTGTCTTTACAGTTGTGGGTGTGGAAGCCAGATGTTGAGGAATGAGAGGCAGACATAAATATGCAGCTGGCCAGGGAGTGGAGCTAGCTATTTCAGCAGTCATACTGTGAGGTGAAAGTGGAGGATGGTGGCTGAAAGGGACTGAAGAAGGGCCTTTCACTGTTTGAGTTTTGGAAAAGCCTGGGTACACTCAATTACTGATACGAATATCTAGCTGCGAGAAAGCGGCAGTAGGTAAGGCAGAAGAAGGATACTTGAACTAGGCCAGGGAGCAGGGGACATATTAGCATCAGAAGCTTCCTAACTATCCAAAGCTCCATGCCACCTTTGAGTGTCGTGACCTCTTTACCCTTTTACTGTGAAGCACTGTTTTTTTAAAAATCAACTTTAAATTGACTGTTTCACTTATTTTCATCCTTGCCACCAATAACTACAAAATGTCGTTTTTCACTGAGCTTGTTTTTAAGTTTTTCTTCTCAGATTTTACTGATTTGGCAGTCATTGAGATGACTGCATAATTTTAGGAGAAGCAGTTCATATTTCCCCTTGTGCACCTGTTACGCTCACCCTCCACCAGTGCTCCAGTGCTTAAATCCTAGCACCTTACCTCCCTCAGCCCCTCCTCCCTTTCCTCACTGGTACTAATATATTTTTCACAGAATCTAAGAGTTATTTTTGTTGTATTTTACCAATTTGTTTTCTTTGGTTTATAATCTGCAAATGAGTAAGACCCCCCCGGTGAATTGTACTTTCTGACTTCATGCCACACAGTCACCTCATGATCCTTCTCATTTGTCCCAAAAAGCACATTCATCTTTTTTAATAGCTCAATAGTATTCTATGTCTTTCCATTTCTTTATCCACTCATCTGTCAATGGGCATTTTTTATTAAAAGTTTATCAGTGACCTAGTCCATTTGACTTCTATAACAAAACACCATAGTCAGGGAGGCTGGTAAACAACAGAAATTCATTTCTCACAGTTCTGGAGGCTGAGAAGTCCAAGATCAAAGTGCTGGTATGGTGGGTGAGCAGCCTCTTCTGGGTTGCACGCTGTTCACTGTGTCTTCGTGTAGCAGAAGGAGTAAGGAACTCTCTGGAACTTCTGTTAGAAGGCCCTCCTCATGATTTTACAAACCTCCCAAAGACCCGACTTCTTAGCACCATCATCTTTGAGGGTTAGAATTTCAGTGTATGAATTTGGTGGTAATATTCAAACCATAGCAATCTGTCAACCACTAAAAGTCATCTCTTGCCCCCTCTATGGACTGCACATCCCACACTGAGAAGCACCAAGTGTGAAGTTACCTAAGTTCCTGCTGGCAGTGGGTCTTTCCTCCAGGACCTCACATCCTGTGCCACCTGCCTGGGCCAAGGGCAGGGAGCAGTGTGGTGGTAAAGGAGGGTCCTTAGGAGAAGCTATTGGAGAAGATATGGCCTTGGACATGAAAGAGACTTTGTCATATTACATGTGGTTATTACTGAGAAGTGATTATCTTGTGTTCACTTGATTTGACCTAGGTAGAGTACTTCTAGGAAAGGCTACAAGAATGCAATGGGTTAGTGAACCGCCTTACTTGATATTGTAAATATATAAAGAATCACTGGGAAGGAATCCCGTTCCCATGGCCCATTTTCTCTGTATGGCATCCTTTCTTTCTCTTTCTTGAGCATGAGTCTTGAATGTCTAAATTATTCCCCTTGTTTCTAGTGTTAAATAGAAACTGAAGTCATTAATACTGCCAGCTTAAGAATTAATCTTCTTTTCCATGGTGATGAAACACTGATGGATTTTATAGAAAACCCCTACTATTATAGGAAATATCTGTATATTCAGCAGGAAGATTATGTATAAAGATCATTTATGCCTCAAAATTAAGATGCAGAGTTATACTTGGTTACACTTGGTTACGGTTTACAAAGGCATTGTTGAAAGCAATTGGGAGTTCCTGACATTTATCTTAGTGAAATTTTGTATCTAGATAGTTTCTCATTCTTAGAAAAAATGAATCATATTTTTTTTTGGTATTTAAAATTGCTGATGAAATCTTTTTGCGTAGTGTGAATAATGTTTTAGTGGTTTCATTCATGTGTGTTTTGAAATGACTGACATTATACCAAATTTGGGGCCTTGAAAAGACTTGTTAACTTACTCAAAGAACTCAGAACAAGAAAGATGTTTCTATTAAGTGAAAAATGTGTTTACTTCCTGATTTTCTTTTCACATGCTGGGGTGGAGCTGGGAAGGAAGAAATCCAGAGAATTCAATAGTCGAGCTTGTGCAGAGTAGCGTCTGGTGTTTAAGGAGTGGCGATCAAGAATTTGTTATGCCAGTGACAACTCCCTGGTGGTTCTGTTGTATTTACTCTTCCACAGAAGAGTACAACTACTGAATGTTAGGCTCATGAAAATTCTACATATGTTTGAAGGTAGTATTTAATTATAAGCTTTTCCATTTTGTGGAAAAATAGCCTAAAGCTCTTTAATTGTTTTTCATAATTTAATGTTCAGCCATTTACAAAGAACAAGATGTATATCTATTAACATGAAGAGATCTCTAAGCTGTATTGTTAAGTGAGGAACATTAAGTTGCAGAACAATACAAATTGTGCAATGACATCTACATAGATATGTGTTTATATACATGTGTGTTACCACTATTTAGAAAAAGCACCAGAATCATACACTTCAGAAGTTCAATCATAGTTACCTTTGGTAAAGAGAAAAGAGTATGGAAGGGAGGAAGTAATAAAAGGCCTTTTTAATTTCATTTTTCATATTTTTATAGAAATAACATTGCATTATAATGCTATGCAAGTTTTAATTATGAATCATTTTAAGTCACCATCTGTATATGCTACATTATCTTCACCACAAAAAGTTCCATTGTATCATCACCATACAACTGACACTAATAAGGATTTTAGTTTTTACTCTAAGTACTAGTCTGTAAGAATGCAATTATGTTTAAAAAGGCATAGTTTTAAATGAAGTAATAAGTGTGCATTATAGAAACTTTGGAAAATTTAAGAGACAGAAAATAAAATGTATTAGTAATTTATCAGAGATGATACTATTGTGATTCTACTATGCATCCTTCCAGTGGATTCCTACCCAAATATTAGTGAATAGTGTAAGTGTACACTTAGGGGATTTACATGGTGCCCAATTCATTAAATTTTCTGAGTAGTGCTAAATTGTACATTGTCTTAAGTAAATGATTGTGTCCAAGAATTATTTCTAAAGATAAATTTCTAGGGACCCCCCCTGGTTGCCTAGGGATTAAGGATCATCGCTTAATCACTGTGAATGCCTGAGTTTGATCCTTGGACAGGGAGCTAACCCAAATGGCGCAGCAGACCTCTCCTGTCTTGCCATTGCTCCCCTCAGCAGTGTATTTCAGTACATCTGCCTGTTCTGCCCACTACTCTGTCTTGGGTGAATCTTTTCAACCCCCTGCATCGCTGCTCTACACCTCAGTTCTTCTATGCAAAAATAGATAAAATTAAATAAATAAAATAAAGGTAAATTTCTTTAAGTAAGTTAATTAGAACATAAATGTAGGCATGTTTCCAAGAATCTTGTCTATTATGTTAAATTGCTTTAAAGAAAAGTTTTTCCCACCCATATACTGTTAGTATAGATGTGGACTTGTGAAGCTCCTGTGGAGAACAGCATGAAGTTTCCCACAATATTAAAAATGCATATACCATTTACCTAGCATTTATACTCCTTGGAATTTATCCAAAGAATGTAAAAACACGAATTCAAAGGGGTATATGTACTCATGTGTTCATTTCATTGTTATTTACAGTAGTTAAATTATGAAAATTATCTAAGTGTCTAATGACGAGTGGATAAAGAAGATATGGTATATATACACAATGGAATACTATTCAGCTATAAAAGAAGATGAAATCTTGGGTCTCTCTGGTGATACAGGAATTAAAGTCTCAGCGCTATGAAGCTATAGCCAGCCACTGCGGCCTGAGTTCAATCTCTGGCCAAGTTGCTGCTCCACATGGCCCAGCGGACCTCTCCTGTCTTGCCTGCTGCTCCCCTCAGCAGTGTATTTCAGTAGATCTGCCTGTTCTCCACACTCTGTCTCTGGTGAATCCTTTCACCACCACCCCCAAACCTCTAACCTACAATCTAGTTCTTATATGCATAAATAGATAAAAATAAAACTTTAAAAAAAAAAAAAGATGAAATCTTGCCATTTGCAACAACATTGATGCAACTGGGAGGGGATTATCTAAATCAATAATTTCACTCATATGAGGAATAGAAAGAAACAAAACAAAGGAACAGACAAAACTAAACCAAAACAAACTCTAGAAATCTAACTGCAGAATGAGGCTGTAGAGGGAGACGGTAGAGTTTGGGGAACAAAGGTATGAGGGGGTGCAGTGGTCAAAGGTAAAGAGGTAAAGGACTATGGGGGTGTGCAGTGGTAACATACATCTGAAGAGGTATAAACCTATACCCCTAAATCATGTACAGTGTTGTAAACTAATGTTACTTCAAAAAAAAAAAAAAAGTTACAGAAAAAAAATTGCTTCGGGTGAGAGATACTGGACATGTTAGAAATGACTATTACTGCACACTTAGTGGCACTGAGTATTATTTTAGTCTTTGTCAGTTTTGTCTTTTGAAATTGGCTTTGCCTCTAGCTGCTCAGATTTGGAAATGGGGAGTGAGAAAAAGTTGTCCTGAAGTTGGGTGAGGTTTCTGGGCGAAGGTGAGGAGCAGGGACAGAAGGAAGGAGCAGAATGGATTGAGACTAGCACTGAGGGTCTTGTCCAGTGTGTATGGAGGACTTGCTGTGACAAGAACCCACAAAGGATGTGTGTCCCTGAAAATTTTCAGGACATGTTTTTCCCTCTGTCTTTACATCTTTATGACACCCCTTCCACTGGGTAGAACTCTAAACAGTACAACTGTGAATTTCTTGACTGTCCCCATTGAGTCTCTGGAACTTCTAAAGTGCTAATTATTTCCTGAGAGAGATTTGCATTTGAAAGTGAGGTTTCTTTCCTTGACCTCTTAACCCTCCCTATTCTGTGTTCCCAGCTGGTTCGACTGTGCAATGAAGGGGCCCGAAAAATGGAAAGGACCGAAATGATGTACACAATTAACTCCCAGCTGGAATTTAAAATTAAGGTATTTTTCTATTTCTTTTAAATGGATGTATTACTGCTCTTGCTTAAATTTTATGTAAATAGAGTGCATTTCAGAGAAGGACAATAAATTAATTAGAGACAAGCTGTCAGAGGGAGTAGCGGATGCTTGGGGGCAATTCTCCCTTGCTTTTACCAGATAAAGTAACTTTCGTGCAGGCCTTGAAGTTAGGTATTATCTACCTAGCACATCCTTTTTCTTTTTCCAGGAAGAAAGAAGTAGTTAAAATAAGAAAATTTTAGAATGGAAAGGAGATTTCTGCACAGTTCTCAACATGTCCTGCACAACAGTGGTACCCCATGTGTGGGGCAGGATGTTGACCTAAGTCAACATTGGACAGTCTTTTCTGGTTTGAAGAAAAGATTGTGAGTTAATTGCTCCTTTCAAGTTTGTTTTTCTATCATTCTTTTTGGAATATGTGCTGTTTGTCACTACTTGTCTGATTCTATTTAGCAGCAGATGATATGAAGATGAACAATGAAGAAAATGACAATTCTGGCAAATGCAGGCCATGGTCATTTCGGTATTGGCTCATAGCTTAGTTCTTACTGGATGTGGGTCTTGCATTTTATCCCAAGTAAATTTAATTAAGCAACTTTATTTATTTTTTCTTTTTAGTAAAATTGTTCTTAATTCATACCGTGGTATTAAGAGAGACCATGGTCTTCTTCAGACAGTAGATTTTCTCTCATGTCCTTTAGATTGAGGACCACTGATATGTATGATGATACTTTTTATTAGGGAGGACAATAAAAGCCAGAGAATTGTTAACAGGGTAAGGAGAATTTTAGAACTTTAGGTACCAATATGGAAGGCTTTTTCTTTAAGATTTATTTTTATTTATTTATTTATACAAGAACTGGGGTGTTGGCCAGAGGGGCAGGGGGTGAGAGGATTCACCAGAGACAGTGGGGAGTAGAACAGGCGAATCTAATGAAATACATTGCCAAAGGGAGCAGTGGGCGAGTCAGGAGAGGTCTGCTGAACCATATGGGTTAGCTCCCTGGCCAGGGATTGAACTCAGGTTGCAATGGCAGCTGATAGCCCTGGAAGGCTTTTTTATATATTAAGTGAAGAAAGTACAGAACAGGCTTTAAAAAAGACACAAAATTTGCTTATGAATAAGAAATGCTTTCGTCAAAGGGTAGGAACTGGGTAGTCAGGAACAAGATGGAAGGAATTTTTTTTTTGCCTTCAAACTTTTTTTGTAATATTTGTTTTTTTTTTTAAAAAAACTCACCCTCCCTCTCTCTTTCTCACACACACACATGCACACACTTACACAATTCAACTTACTGAAAAAATGTATTCTATCAACCTTGTGGAGAATGAGTTGTGAGGGTAATAAAACTGGAAATGGAAAGCCACTTAGACTGGAAGAAAAATATGGAGAGGCCTGTGGTATGCCTGAATAGGGGCAGTAGTGCTACCACAATGTCTGTCTACTTAGCTAGAAATCCCCAGGGGGGAGGAGCTTTGGGGAAATGAACAATGAACGAGGCCTGTGTTGGCCATATTTGGTCCATGGTGCTACCATAGCAGCTACTGCTATGACAATATTTACTGGATATCATTTTCACATGGTCTCATTTAACTCTCACAAGAATCCCATCAAGGATTCTATTATTATTCCTTTTATAGTTAAGGAATCTGAATCTAGCGATATTGAATAATCTATTCAGTCATACACAAAGATGTAATGAAGCCTGCATCTAGACTTACAGATGACCCCTGAGTCCACATTCTTAGCAATGACAGTATAACAGGATGGTCCTTTTCTCATTTGAAGTGGTGAAAAACTCTTTCCATAAATATACAAGTTTTTCATTCTTATATTTTGTAAGTTTCTAGAAAAGTATTGTGTACCACACTGTGGAAATAGGAGAGGGATAAACAGAATCCACTGGATTGGCTCTTGGGAAGCCAGGAAACCTGGCCAACTTGAGTTCCAGTTTTTTCACCACCACTTAATGCCTTGGGCATTACTTAACTTACAAGCCTTAGTTTTCTGAACTCTAAAATGGAGCTGGTGGGCCTCCCTAGTGGCCCAAGGGGTTGAGCACAGTGATGTGGAGCTGTCCACAGCCTCTGCAGCAGGAGTTCGATCCTTGGCCAGGGAGCTACCCACATGGCGCTGCAGACCTCTCCTGCCTCGCCCGTTGCTCCCCTCTGCAGTGTATTTCAATCAATCTGCCTGTTCTGTTCCCCTTTCTGTCTCCGGTGAATCCTCAACCCCAACACCTCTGGCCTGTACCCAGTTCTTGTAATCATAAATAAATAAATCTTTTTAAAAAAATAAAAATAAAATGGAGCTGGTAATATTACTTTTCCACATGGAGTTATTGTGAGGATTACAATAATATTAATAGATTTAAAGACCTTGAAACAGACCTCATTCATGGAAAGCAAGCAGTAAATACCATTCAGATGCTTTGTCAGAATAGTTTCAAAGAAATGGCGGACATGAAAAATAATGGAAAGTGAAATAGTTATTTTAATAGTTTCTTCTTTTTTAAAAAATATTCTGAAGGAGTTTAATCTTACAACAATAAATTCCGAAACAGAAAACTTTTACAATGTTGAATTTTTGTTTTCAAAATCAACATTGATATATTGAAAAACATGTCAGTTTTAGGTATTCACTAAAATTTTATTTTTGTCTCGTGGTGTATGAGAATTCTAAAAATCAACCTACTTGTAAAACTATAAATTTTTTTAAAAGGTTCTTTGCCCATTATAAGTTGGCATGTACACTAGAACTTAACATGGCTCTCAGGCCTCCTGTGGGAATACATGGAATAACAAAATAGCACCTCTGTGTTGCTGGTAATTACAGACCTTTGGCAGGACTTAATCTGGCCACACAATTCTTTTTAGTAGTCTCTGTTATGTGTGGTGGGGCCTTCCAGAATGATCTATCTATGGGTCTTTTAAAATCCAGCCATTTCTGTTGGATAATCAGCTGATTTGAGATTTCGGTACTGGAAACTCTACAAAACTCCCTATATTGTCAATTTTGAAAGTTTTAAGTCTGTCATAATCGTTCATCTTCCGTTTTAAACAATCACGAAAATAGTATAAACTGACAAGTGATCATCTTATAAAATTCCTTTTTAGGGTTAAAATATATACAGAATTTTCTCTCTGCCTTCTTCTTGCCTCCCAAATATCCTCAGTTTCCTGTAGCTTTTTAATCACTGTTCTCTAAGACAATGCCATTGGGTTGTACCCCACTACTCGTTATGTTTTATGTGTCCCAGAACTTTTACTTATTTTGGAGATTTAGTTTTTTCTATCAGATTTTTGGCAGTAAGCATTTCTGGTAACTTTTAAAAGGGGGGCCATGCAGGACTAAGTGGTTTTGAGTGAATTTTCAGTTGGAAGCTGAAAGCTAAATAAAGAAAAGAGAGTATGTAATTACTTGGATACAGCCTTTTTAATGAGATTGGGATGGATTATTATATGAAAACTTTATTTTAACAGTCAGAAAGTGGCATGATGCTTTCAGGGATGAACTTCCATGAGGAAAACTACCTTAAACTTAACAACAGATGTTCTTCATATTTGCTTAAGTAGATCTTTAGTAGACAAAACATAAGTGTGTGGGGATTTTTGTATTTTGAATGAAGTCATTTTAGTTTATAAAGCAAATATGGACTTTTTTACTTGTCTGTTGTTAACTACAGTTGTCTGTGTTTTTTCCATTTGTTTAGATACTGACTTGCGGTATTTAAAATTACTGCAGTTGATACCAACAGATTCATCATGAGACTTACCAATTTTAAATGAATCCTTCCTTGTCAATCTTCTTTTTCAGCTGAGAGTTATTGGAAGGGTTGTAATTTTGGGTCACCTCGATAGCACTTTCTCATTGCGTTTTTATTGTTACATACACAAGTTAATGGCTTTTTACATTGGAAAATAAATTATTCTGTTCCATTTTCTCTTGGGGAATTGCTGTACCTCTCTAATTATTTTTCACTACTATATGAAATGATGAAATGATGGCACATACCATAATGTATATCATTTGTTTGTGTGTTTTCTATTTTACTTTTGATCATCTTGAAGGGACTTTAATTTGGCTTTATGTGCTGAATTTCCTCTTTCTGTAGCCTTTTCCTCTAGTCTCCTCTTCGCGGTGGTTGGTAAAGAGAGGGGAGCTAACGGCCTATGTGGAAGATATGGTCCTATTCTCAAGAAGGATGTCCAAGCAGCAAGTCTACTTCTTTCTCTTTAATGATGTGCTCATTATTACAAAGAAGAAGAGGTAAGTGAGCCTATTTCTGGTGTTGCCAGCTGGACATACAGTTTGAAGCATTGTAATTCGAATGTCTGTTAGAAGTGATCAGCCTTTAGGGCCTCCCTCGTGGCGCAAGGGGTTAAGCACAGCACTGTGAAGCTGTCCATAGCCTCTGCAGCATGAGTTCGATCCCCGGCCTGACAGCAAGCAAACCCACATGGCGCAGCAGACCTCTCCTGTCTCGCCTGCTGCTCCCCTCAGCAGTGTACTTCGGTCTATCTACCTGTTCCCCACTCTGTCTCTGGTGAATCCTCTCACCACCCCCCGCCACTCCCCTCCACCATCTTCTGCACCTCTGGCCTGTTTCCTAGTTTATATACATCAATAAATAAATCTTTAAAAAAATAATCAGCCTTTAAAGATTTTAGATATTAGATGGAATGTAGTAGCATCTATGCTTCATTTTCTTAAGACTCCAGTCGTTATCAGTATCATCATGGTAGCCAGCCTCTGCTGGGCTTCCATAGCTTACTGGGCACGTTGCAGCGCTCACTGTGGTAAGCACATTGCATGTTCTCTCTTTGGTTCTCATGGTGTCCTCAGGGAGAAAACACTCTTACTCCCAATTAACATTTTCTACACTTCTGTGCGAAACATTTGTATCGCAAAGACATAAGTTGGGAATAGGCTCGGGCACAACTCTCTTGCTCTTCATACCTTAATTTAAAATCTGCTGCTCTTGATTGTTAGTCTAAACAGTTTTCCGGTGACTGGAAGGATGTTGGAAGTATTCCAGCACTTGTTTCTAAAGAGAAGAAAGCATGTCAGTGGGTTGGCAGCATTTATTCTTCTTACTTCTGACTTCTGGTTGTGTATTCATGTCCAGCTCTGCGGAGACTTCCAGGAGGAATACTTCCACAGTATTAAAGTACTTATTCTTTACAGTACTGACTGTTCCCACTTAGGACACACACATACACAATGCAAACATCATAGACCACACTGCATACATCCCAGGCCACACCACACATGCATACACCATACATAACACTGCACACACAGACAACTCAGCTCTGCCTTCCTCTAAGGAATGTTCTTTACGAAATATGCCAAGCATATTTAGAATTGTAAACAATTTTCCTGCTGGCCCTAGGTAAATATTTCATCTTGCCTAGAACTTGAACTTAGAGTAAAAACATGAGTCTGTGGTGTGCTCTTTCTACATTTGAATGCAGTGATGGTGAGCTGAGTGGCCAGCTATAATAAGAGTAAGGTCACACATGGAGTGCAGTTTAGACAAGGAGACAATCATGGAAACCAGCTTCTATGAAAATATGAAATCAATGTCCAAATTTATCATGAAATCTTACTTGAATGCAATTTTTGAGTTGCTGACATTTTAGCTTGAAATTGCAAACTAGATTAAAACAAGTTTCATTTTTTTCTTTTTGCTCCATATAAGACTATATTATGAATTATTTCTGCTGTCTAGCTGAAATAAAAACTTTGCACTGTCTATCCTGAAAAGCCACAGTACAACTATGCTAAGTATATAAAGATACAGATAATTCTTTTTCATGCTTAGGAAAATAGTATTTTCATAACTTCAAGAAGAATTTTTTTTTCTTTTTCTTAGGGCAGTTTAGATACATATAGTCACTAAGTAAGTTTTATAAATAAAGATGGGAGAGGAATTACAATTTGGGGATTTTTATGTTATGTTGCTTTCTTATGAGATAGCTTGTTTCTTTGGCTTGCTTGGTGACTTTTTTTTTTTTAGGAGAGAGTAATTATATTACTCTTCAAATACCAGAACTCTTGACTTATAACATCTTCCAGCTGTTGAAATATTTATTCTGTCTCAATAGACCTAAAGCTTTAACTAAACTTTGGATTTTAATAATAAAATATACATTGATAGTACCAAGCCAACTTTAAATAAAGATGTAGTTTTGATTATGATGTCTTCAGCGATGTGCTGAAAACATGAAGCGTATTAAATCAATATAGTACAACTTTTTTTCTTGAACTTACATAGAACTACCTAATAAATATAGCCTTTTGAAAGTTAGAATCAAATGTCTATACTGTTCTGCTTAGTAGCATACTTTACTTTCTGCAGGAAATTTTGCCATTATAATTAATGTAGCTTTTCTACCTATCCCACATTTAATTGCTCAGATATATTTGAACTTAAATTATTAATAAAAGATAGAGCAAAATATATAACTCCAATGGAAAGGGCAACTTGAGTACCCATCTTTGCCTTTACCAAAACTGGGATTTTCTTGCCCTCACCAATTAGTTATTTTTCATGTGCTCTTACCTTGGGAATTAGCACTGGAGGTTCAAGGTATTTATGACCTGCATATGCCGTCAGGGTAGCAAGCAGACCACAGAGGCCTGATAAACAGGCTTGCCTAAAAATGTACAGTATGCACAGCCCTATTAACACAGTAGCTTAGGAGGCAACTGCAAATGCTTCGCATGCCAGTCTGCAGGAGAGACAACAACGTGGAGCAAGACGATCATTTCGCTTGGCTATGAGGTCCAGACAGAGGCTAATTACCTGTGGCAGCTTTGTGGGGCCCATCCAGCTTTGTGGGGCCCATCCAGCCATCTACTCCCTAATTGTAATTTCAGGGTTCAGTCAAGAAGCTTAGCTGCTAGGTCTCCAGTGGTTGTAACTTCAGGGAAAATCCTAGACAGTTACTATACCTCTTCTGATTCAGTCTGACAGATGGTTTATGTGAACACATCCCACAAATTGCTGGGGTGTGTGGCTGCCTGGGTTCTGCAGTACATGTGTCGCTGCTGGTGACCAAGGGGCTATCTTCTAGGATAGGATTTTCCAGAATATCAAAAGGAGGTTTCAAACTTTGATTATCTTTGGGTTGATGTGAGTCCCTGTATCGTTTATCTGTTTTGTCACATCTCAGAAGAACTGCGGTCAGTTTGACAAACTGATGAGAAAGTGAATTCTTTAGTAGTTGAAATTTTGACTGCAGGTACTCTGGGTAAAGGAGCAGGGTTCTTTGCTTATCACCATTGAGGCCAATAATTCTTTTATTTGGGGGGATCGGGTGGTTATCCTGTGCTTTGTAGGATGTTTTAGTGGCATTCCTGACTTCCCTGGCCCAATATTAGCGGTAGCACCTCACTCCAAGCTGTGACAACAAAAGTGTCTCCAGACTTTGTCATAGGTCCCCCAAGGGCCAAGTCACTCCCAGTTGAGAGCCGCTAGAGTGATCGTAGACTGAATGCAAGCTTTGCCTGCAGAGCAATGACACTGTACCAATCTATCAGACCTGGAACAGCCATAAAATTATAAGAAAGGACTGGATTGCCATCTTGGACTCACAGGTTAATGAATAATAACTTACTATCATATTATACTTATGTAATTTGTAAGAACATATTTTTAATTATCTATTACAGTATATAAAATTGAATAACCTTAAGGATTAAATACTATTGTTCCCAATTTTGAAATGTAAAAAGTAAATTCAAGACCTAAATAGGTTCAAATTCCCAACAGACTTATTTTGTAAGGCTGTAATGAGATATAATTATCTCATTATATTCATTCAGTGCCTTAAGAATATATATGGTTTAGGTCTTTCCCCCAATTTCTTCTGAAGCTAAAAACAAAGTTTTCTTCCTTGTATTAGCTTCTTTTAGCTGCTGTAGCAAAGTACCAAAAACTAGGTGGCTTAAAGCAATAGGGGTTTATTTTCCCCACCTCCTGGAGACAGAAGTCAGAAACCAAGTTTTGGGCAGGGCTATGTGCCCTCCAAAGACTCAAGGAACCATTCCTTGCCCCTTCAGCTCCTGCTGGCCCCTGGCATTCCCAGGCCTTTGGCAGTGTAACTCTATTCCCTTCCTCTGCCTTCATATGGCTTTCTTCTCTCCACCTGTCTATAAATTTCCCTCCCCTTATAAGGATATCAATTATTGCATTTAGGGCCCATTTTAATCCAGAATTATCTCATTTTAACTTGGGTCACAAGTCTTGCTTTACGGAGATAGGTAAGGCTAGCACACAACAGAGGGTCTACAAGCCATGACTGTTTCAGCTCACGCACGTGCCTCCCTTGTAGCCAGTGCCCTGCAGCGTGGCGGGCTAGATGCAAGCAAGGCTGACAGCTAGCTAGATGCTAAACACAACTGGGAAACCCTCTTTTCCAAATACTAATTAAAATAGGTGCAGTTTGGGAAGCAAGAAGAGTTCTTTAAAAGAACTAATATCTTGCCTTCAGGATAAATGGAGGGGAGACCTTTGTTCAAAAGAGACAGAAATGACTAGAGATTTAAAACCTGCTTTCCTTTGCCTGGTGTTAGTTATCCAGCTCTGGTTTATGTAGGTGTCTTGTTGGTGGGACCTTTTTGCTCCCATGTGCTCAGGTGTGCCCTTTGGCATATTTAGAGAACACAGACAGAGGGTCCTAGTTGGGGTGAAGGCGTGGTGCCAGAAGAATGGGGACGTCTAAGCTAAACCCCACATCTGTAAAAGTAAATGTAAGCATGTCCTGATTTGTTCCTTTCATTCTTCTCTGGGGTTCTCTACCCACAGATGATCTAGCCATGGTATTATGGGGTATTCTCAAAATTTAGATAAGTAGTAATAGTAATGATAACAGGCTCTATTGTGAAAGCATATACAGTGTGTCATTCATTGTGCTCAGTGTATATGCAATATGTCATTAAGTTATCACAGCTACCAGGCTTCATTTTCATTTTATAGATGAGGACACTGAGGTAGAGAGAGAGGAAAAGAGAGAGAAAGAGAAAGGAGAGAGAAAAAGAAAGAGAGAGTGCCAACTCTTTCAAAGCCAGAATTCTAATCTGAATGTCTTTCTCCAGGATCTGCTTTTTTTTTTAAAGATTTATTTATTTATTTATACAAACACGGGGTACAGTCAGAAGCACGGGAGGGTGAGAGAATTCACCAGAGCCAGAGCAGGGAACAGAACAGGCAGACTGACGAAGTACACTGCTGAGGGGAGCAGTGAGTGCAGCAGGAGAGG